CCCTCAGAACCACTAGAAAACTTCTTCTGTTTACGCTTCCTCAGATATTCTTCATCATAAACTGCTTCCCCAACAATGTCATCGTCGCTTTCAAATTCTACCTCATTGTCTGAAACAGTTTCAACAAAGTCCGAAGCTGAATACCGTTGAGGCCGTTGTCTACGCCTGTTACTGCCATGAAATTATCCTCGTTAATTCAAACTAAAGTTGAGCAAAATTCTGGAAGGGAAATTTAGAAAAAATACACTGTATCTTGCCTTCTGTCCAAGGATTCATCTCTCTGCTCATCGAAATCATCATAATCAGCAAAATCAGAAGATCTCGCAGATGCTGTATCGTTCACAGGCTCAGTAGGGTGGGTTGAACTGGTCGATCTGCCATTCACAAGAGCATCCAATCTAGCAGATTCTCTTCTGTGGAGAGGAGGTTCTGGTGATGGATGCTTTTTCCTGAGATAGTATTACCAAAGCAAACAGAATGTAAGAGACAATAGATAATAGTCACCAAATAACAATGTAAAAGGAAACCAACACCAGAGATGATTGAAAGAAAGGGACACTCGGACATACTTTGTTATCTTGATAGCTTCATTTATCGACCTATCATAATCATCTGCAATAATATTCAACATTAGTAAAACTCTTCAGCCCAGTTGAGATCAAGCTAGATATATAATCAGACAAAATTGAAAAGAAAAAAAAACCACGGAGCATGAATTTCCAACAAGGTCATAGCCTTACCAAAAGTGTATCTAACTGGCTTCCTATCACGGAGAGAACGGCCAGGACCAAGTCCGTCAGCAACCAAATAGTTATCAAGGAGAAGAGCCTGTCTATGTTGCTTTTTCAACAATTTTTCTTTCCTCTGACAACAACAAAAAAAAAAAAATTCAATTATGAAAGGATGCAATTGATAAGAATTATTCAGCCATGAATATGCGCTTAGTAGCAGGTTTCTATTCTACCGTAACCAAGATGAAAACAAAAAAGAAAAGCAGAGAGCAAACTGGAACCTTGTGTTCTTTTTCTATCTCAGGAAGCATATCTTTCATTAACTTCTTCCCTAGAGAAACTTCAATTCTACTATTACTTGAAAGAAGTTTTTCCTGCAAAACGAAGAAACACAGAATCTCAATCAGCAGGAAAGACACAGAAGCTATACTATTGTTTGTTAGAATAGTTTAGTCCTTCACAGAACCAAACATCAATTGACAGTCAAAAGAAAAGAAGTTTTAGTCCGCAACATAAAGTTTCGACACAGCATAGGATCTCCACACCACGAAAGAAGATACTAAGCATTGAAATGTATCAACAATATAAATATGTTTATGTTCTCCTTGTTAAAAAGGATATAATCAACTGCAACAACATTGCCCCAGAAAGGACATCTCTAGAGAAAAAAGCAACTGAATTCACTAATACATACTACTCACTGAACATCCAACAATGTATCTACAGTGAAAATAGACTCAACTTGCACATGAGCCCTTTCGGCCAGTTTCCACTACTATCATTTTTAACTTGGTTCACTCACAAAAACCAAATAGACCAATAATATTTACAAGCAATCAAAAGGTATGCACCATTCTTTGAGAAATAATATTTAGGAACTGGGAAGAAAGTTACATCCATCCTCTGAAAATTACTGATTCTCCACACACAATTTTCTCAACATATACAGTACAATCCCATGTTTGGCATCTGTGAAATTCCATCAATAAAGCAAATTCACATTTGAGTGCATGGATAACACTAGACTCCACGCTGACTAATCATCAGAATCGAGCTACCATATTTCATTGCAAGAATTAATTACAGACTACTAGACAGACAGTCATATAGAAGTATCCTAAGCAATTTATTTGACAATTCAGAATTATTGATTGTACTAGAGACTTACAGAAACATCTTGGAATTCATCGAAATTAGTGGCAACAGTTTCCCATTGGTATGTTACGTTAGGAAGAATCTTGGAACCCTTTGTTTTGACCTTCACCACCTCTGCTTTCCTTATTTCCCGATATAAACGGTGACCAATTAAGGGATCATCCTCATACCTTAAATAAGAAAAAAAACAGGTGCTATCAGATATATGCAAACAAGGGAGTCCTATTTAGGTATTTTTATTTGTCACAGACCAAAAATTAACTCCATGTGAATCACCCCCAACACGGTCTTTGCGAAAAACTGACAGATGAACACCAGTTTTAAGAGAGTTGTCAATGTAACTCCTGATATCCTCTTGCTGAAAAATTCAAAAAAAAACCATTGAAGCTGTAAGTGTTAAACCATCTTGATTCAAGTCAATCATAAGAATCGCATCAACTGTAAGTGTCAAACCATCTTGATTCAAGTCTAAAGTGCAAAACATTATAAAGCAATACAAAGCTGCAAAACATGAGATAATTCATTTTCAACTGTAATGCTTTACACAAATAACAAAAAAAATTGGAGAATATAATAAGAGCAACAAAAAACTACAAATGTGGTACACAAATATAAGTACTATTAATCGAGATTTGGATAATAGATCAAGATACAGCAGCAACAATACCTCAACACGAATATCACATAAAGCTTTCAAAATCACCACACGAATGGCTGGATCAAGGGATTTGTACACTTCAATCTCCCGCCTACAAGATTAATAAGATTATAAGATAAAAAAAATTCCTCCCTAGTCAGTTACCATGAGTTTTAAGAAAAACATAACTCACCCTTGCGAGGCAACAATAGGAAGGTCCCCTTCTGCGACCTAAACGAGTATAGGTGAAGCTCATGTCAGAACATGATATAATGCAAAAAGTACCTCACATATTAAGTCAAAGAAGCAATCATTACCCAATGCCAGCAATCTCTTATTTTTCTGCACAAGACAGTGACCCAGGTATCGCGTGTGAGGGCCATTCGAGTTACAGGAGGAATGGCCTGAAAATTGAATAAAAAAATATTATGGTAGTGAAGAATCTAAAATATTCAAGAAAGCGTTTCAAAGAAATTAGTGATCTGTATACAAGCCTATAAGGTGCCTACGAGGGAAGCTAGCAAAAACATAGATGTTAGTTGTTGGTCAAATGAACTGCAGCCAAAATGATATGAAACTAAGAGTCCTTGAATCTAAACAGAGAATAAGTCAGCAAGTTCATGATTTAGGTGAAAAAGTTGCCTCTAGTCTACCCAAGCCTCAATCCAAAGGGGGAAAATTTAACTTGAAGTGCAGACAAAGATACACCTCTAGTAGTCATGAAACATAGTTTCAAAGAGAAACTGGAACTTCATCTGAACTACAGATATTCAATTTGCAAGCAACCTGCAGTAAGATTTTGGATATGAACGCATGTTTAACAGGTCCCCTTCTATCTCTCGCTGGCCACAGCACCCAGGGTTCAATTTAACATCTAAACATCAAACAGATTCTTCTTGCTCCAAAAGAAGGCAAGTTTTCTATTCTACAAAGCAAGCTCAGTGGTATGACAACAAGCAAAATGTTCATGTCAATTAGACCAGCTCTCGAAGTGCATTGAAGTTAATACTAACAGAAACAAAAGCAACCCAACAAGAACTAGGAAACAATCAATAAGTAGTAACACTAAAAGAGTAGGAAAGAACACAAGAATGGATTAACCAAAGCACCAACCTTTAGCAAAGGAATATGTATATCACTTAAAGTATCGTTTGGAGTAAGCAGAGCCGTTTCAAACTCCTCCGCTGAAAACTCCGCGTTGATTTTCAAAAGCGGTCTAAAAACCTTCACCATCCAAAAACAAATAAGAACTTGAGAGTGAGTTAACTCAATGGCAGCAGAGAAAACAAAACAAAACAAAAAAACTCAGAATTGAAGAGAACAGAGAGCTCACATGCAAGAAATTGAGTACGGAAGCAAGTTCCCACATTGAACGAAGATTCCATCGTGGCATCTGTGAAGGTTCCGGTGGCGGAACAAGTGAAGTAACAATTTTACCGGAACT